AGTAGTAGTAGTAGTAGTAGTAGTAGTAAGATGTAGTAGTAGTAATAAGATGTAGTAAGATGTAGTAAGGTGTAGTAAGGTTAGTAGTTGGTGTCTCCTTTTCCACCAATTTGGTGGATAATTAAAACTCCCAAGCTTTTTTGGGGAATGAGAAGCGGTGGAAAGTTCGATTCACCTTTCGGACTGAGAAACCCGGCGCCTGGCGCCTGCCTCGCTCGATTTGAGAAAGCCGTGTCGAGACAGCCGTGTTTCGATCGTTCTCCACCGGGTTGGGTTGAAGAAGATGTTTCATGGGTGACAGGTGAACGGGGGAGTCTCCACATGTCTCCACATTGGTAGAGAATGTGGGTATACCCCTCCGCACGCACAGCCAGTGGCACACATGCAATGGTGACCACTCCCACAAACAAACATGGAACCTAAGCTATTGACCGTTGGAAAAGCATTTTCCTGTACGACCTGACGTGGTGAAAGGGCCTTCCAGGTTGTCCTTTGCAGGGGAACCACTCCACGAAGCCATGTCGACGGAGCATTTCTCGCCCCGGGTCTGCACATGGTAGAAGCACCCTCCAGGGCGCGCATGCAAGCGCCGTGGCAGCCAAACAGGCAGCAGCAAATTCAACAATTCCCGCTGGTCATTCCCTAGGGCTCCTGGGATGGGTTTGGGGGTCCACCTTCTGAGGATATGGGTGGAGCCCTGGTCATTGATTGCTTAATGGTGAAAGGTAAAGGGATTGATGGGGCCATGTATATACTTAGTTGGTTGGCCCTTGGCGGCGGCGGCATCATTTTGGTCAATTTTTACCCTACATACAGCGTTGTGTCCTTTGTCCTTCCAGCCAAAGACCCTTGCTTGTAAAAAACACAAAAACATTGTTTTTGCTGGTCTCTAGACAAGGTACCCAAACGGTTTGCACTCATCAGATCACCAAACCAGTGGAGAATCTGACTGCTAACAGGCGGATTTAGTGGAGATACCTGTTTGAGCTATGGTCAAATGCTCCTTTGTTCAGTTCCTTGATATGGATAGGACCTTCTAGAACGACCACTGCAACGCTCTTTTTGCCTGCCACAACATCGGCATCCACGAATGGGTCGTTGACTCCCAGGTAGGTGTTGTCCTAGCTTCAAAAACCTAACTCGCAGCTGTTTAAGACGAGAGGTCTTGTTTGGATTGACATTTACCCAAACACTGCACAATCCCATGGATTCTATTCCTAGTTAGCATGCCTATACATTGACCTAACATCACCCGATGCCATACATAGGTAAACGGTAAACATGCCATACATGGAGTGTTTAGGTTATGATATGATAGAAAAAGAAGCCATCGGCGCTGAGGAGACCTGTCCCGCGCTCACGATCAACAAGGTGCGCTTTCCGACAGACGGGGCAGGGAAGTGTCGGGACAGCTCAGTTGCGCAGGAATCGATTCTTGGAATGAGAAGGTGGACAGCATTCAGAATACTGGCGCTGCTGGGTGAATTCCATCTCCAGCAGTTTCGGTTTGATGACGAGCACAGGGGCCTGGCAGCCCTAACCAGCACCAGATCCCATTTTGACCATCCCGACTGTTTGGCGGCTCCGGAATATCACCCCTGGCTTTTGTCTGTTCGCAACTCCATCTCCGTATTGTCTTTGGGGCACTGTCCAAAAGATCACACCTGGCACGTGTTTTCACACCATCCCGGATCTTAGAAGCACAGCTTCTCCATGCGTCGCTACACTAGCGTCGCTGGGACGCGTCCACCAGCGGTGCGTCGCGCCGCGCCTTAACTCGCTCTTCGCACTCGAGATCGAGTGCAGGTCTGTGGCAGCGGGTTGAAGGCATTGCATTTGGCCATGCAAGCCATTGTGGCAGGCGGGAAGGTATAGACCTGGACCGGTGGACCAAAAACCCGTTGGGGTTCGTTGCAGAGGATCCTTTTTAACGAATGTAGACTTAGACCAAGGCTCTTAAAAATAGAGAAGGGGTACTGGTTGGGGGGTGTTAAACTGGAGCGGAGCGGAGTGCCACACTGGTCGACCACTAGA